CATCAGCGCAAACACAATCCGTGAGTCGGCCTTTTTTAGGGGACGGCTCAAGCAGGGTTCCCAAAGGCGGTACAAGACGGTAGACAAGAAGTGCCGCCTGGTACCCGTCCTCGTTACAGAGGACGAGGAAGCATATTACGAGAGGGAACGAGGGTTGATACGACGAATGAGAGAAAGTGCTTTAGCAGGGCCACGTCGTATCAACGAAGGGAACGAGAAGGAGTTGATCATAGTGGAGTCTGATTTCCTGCTGCCTCAGGAGCGAACGTTGATGGTGGAATTAATGAAGAGGAAACATCACGCCTATGCGTTTAGTGACGAGGAGCGTGGCAGGCTGGATGTGGACAAGATACCTATGATCCGCATCCACACCGTGCCACATGAGCCTTGGAACATGAGAGGGCCGCGATATCCCAATCCTGACGAGGAAACGAAGGTGGTGGATTACCTCGATGGCAAGATACGTACTCACGTCGCCGACTATTCAAGTGGACCGTATGCGTCCTCGTGGTTCTGCTTTATTAAGCCTAACGGGACGCTGCGGTGGGTGCAGGATTTGCAAAGACTGAATGCAGTGACCGTGCGAGATGCTAGAGGACTGCCGAATGCAGACGCGCTGTCGGAATCCTGTGTTGGAAGGCCTATAATTTCGCTTATAGACCTTTACTCAGGATACGATCAGTTCCCAGTCTACCCGCCGGATAGGCCGGTGACGGCTATGCACACGCCGCGAGGATTAGTCCACATAAACGTGGCCCCACAAGGGTGGACCAACGCAGTAGCAATGGTCCAACGGGCCATGATTCGGGCCATGCAGTCAGTCAGCCCCCATATCACCCAGCCATACATTGACGATTTGGCAGTGAAGGGGCCGGCGATGAAAGAGAGCGATGAAGTCTCATCGGGGGTAAGGTGCTTTGTCTGGAAACACATCCAGGACCTCGCAAAGGTCCTGAGCCTGCTCGAAGAGCATAACCTCACGGCAAGCGGGGCCAAATCCAGACACTGCATGAGGGAAGCGACTATCTTGGGGATCGTCTGCAATGAGAAGGGTCGAAGGCCGGATGTGAAGAAGACGGACAAGATTACTGAGTGGTCAGTTCCGTTCCACTCAATAACTGATGTCAGGAGCTTCCTTGGTACGTGTGAATTTTGGCGGGTCTTCGTCAAAAACTTTGCCGCTAAGACTGAACACCTGAGGAAGTTAGTCCGTCAGGATCAGGAATGGGTATGGGGTGAGGAACAAAAAGAGGTGGTGACAAAAATGAAGGAGGAATTTCGAGAAGGAGGGTTGGTGTTAGGAGCACCAGATTATGACGCCACAGAGACGCGAACCTTCATTGTCGAAACGGATGCGGGACCGACTGCCTTAGGGGGAGTTCTAATTCAGGCAGACATGGAAGGAAAGGAAAGACCCTTGCGATTTAAAAGCCGGACTCTCTGTACGACGGAGAGGAACTACTCTCAGTTCAAGAGGGAGACCCTTGCTGTCCTCCACTGTCTGCAAATTTTTCGGAACTATATCTTCGGCAGGAGGTTTATTTTGAGAGTGGATCCGACCGCCCTGACCTACTCTCTAAGGAATTACGTTCCATCGGATCCGACGGTTGCCAGATGGTTGACGTACATCTGGATGTTCAATTTCGAATTGGAACGGATTCCTGGTAGTAAGAATCGGGCGGACGGGCTGAGTCGGATCAACTGGGATAAACAGGAAGGGGAGGCGGTGAAGAATACGCCCCCAGTTGATGGATTTCTGGATCAGGAAGAAGATGTTCGTCTTCATATCAACAAGTGGTCGCCGCGAGTGCCCAGCTGTGTAGGCTATCCTATCTGGCAAGCGCCGAAGGGGTATGAAAGGAGGAATGAGCTAGTCCTTAAGCCCTTTGAGGAAGAAGATCCCTGGGGCGGTAAGGATGTTCAGTGGATGATGGAGCTAGCGCTGGCCAGCTCGCATAGCCTGGTGGAGGACATGAGAACAATTGAGGAAGGACCTGGCCAGGTAGAACGGCATGAGGACCTGATGGGAGGAATGTATCTCCTCGTCAACACGTTATTGCAGGAAGGCCTCGACCAGTCAGGCTCGTTAAACTCGACAGGAAATGTGGACGAAGTGCCCGAGAGCCAGGACGACGAGTTCGACGAGGGGGAGATTAAGGAGGCTTTTCGTGCAGAGGAGTACGACGAGATCTACCTAGAACTGGGGCTTCTTCTGTCATGTGAAATGCGGCTAAGGGATGCAAGCGATAGGGCTCAGAGGATGCTGTAGCGCTACTTAGTGCGAGATGGCCACCTTTTCGTGAGAAGAGAAGTGGGGAATCCCAGGAGGGTCGTCTGCGGTAGGAATTATCAGATCGACGTCGTAGCAGCACTTCACGATGGCATTACAGGAGGGCATCGAGGGGTACAAGCCACGTATGTCAAGATAAGTGAGCTGTACTACTGGGATGGAATTATGGACATGGTCAGAAAATTCTGTCGGTCCTGCGTACCCTGCCAGGAGAGATCCCGTTTAAGGCAGGGAGAGCCCCTGCATCCAAGGTTAGAGCGAGAGGTGGGGCCCGTAGTGCATCTCGATCTGCTTTTTATGCCACTTGGGGATCAAGGCTATAACTATATCTTCGATGCGCGCAATAACCTGTCTGGGTTCGTAGACGGGCGTGCTATTCGCACCAAGACCGGGTTAGTCTTAGTGAGCTGCATCGAGGAACATTACCTGCGTTACTCTTTCGTCAGGGAATTTGTAATGGACAGGGGATCGAAGTTTACCTGCCAGGAGGTGCAAGAATTAATATCAAGGTATGGTGTAGCAGCCAACTACACCACGACCTCGTACCCCCAGGCAAATGCTCCCGTAGAGAGAGGACATAGTACCATTACGAGTCTCCTGGCTAAGTGGACCGAAGGTAGGTCTAATCAATGACCAAGATACCTAAGGGCGGCGTTCTTTGTCGAGAACATTACAATAAAAAAGATCCACCAAGTACGCACCGGCGACACTGTGGTATGGAAGGCACGCCACCTTCCCTATCGAGACCTTTCTTAAGACATGAAGGCGCCAGGATCTGGAAGTTAACTTGTCATTTGAAGAATTGCTCGATATTCGGGCGCGGCAGATAGGGGCGATAGAAGAAAGGATCCAGGAGGCGTCTGACCAGGTGGCGAGAAGTCGTATGGACGATAAGGCTCGATGGGATCAATCTGCGCGGGTGAGGAAAGTACCCTTGGCAGTTGGAGATGTCGTGCTTCTCTACGATTCATCACTGGAGAAGCAATAGTCCAGGAAGCTCGATAAGAGGTGGTTAGGTCCCTACCGGATCGTACGGGTCGGAGACTTCGGAGCGTATCAGATTGAGGAGCTAAATGGGACTG